ACACACTAATGCCGTTCACCAGGGCGCGGTCCGGCGGTCTTTGTTGGCACCGTACAATCGGAAGAGACTAAAAGCGGAAATGCAAGAGACGAAGACCATTGCAACGGCTGCAAACAAGGCGCTAGCCACTCCTACAGCCATTTGGTTGCAGAATTTGCCATACATATTGCACAACTTCATCCACTGAAGGTCGTCCTCACCTTCCATTGCAAACACACCAGACTCTGCAGCTGCTGCTATGGCCGCCACACTTAAGTACGCTATAGCCTGCACATTCATAACATGTTTAGACTCTCCAAGATCCAATTTCGAATACAAACAAACAAGTAGTAACATTTCTCTTCTCCCACCTACTAAGTTATTCAATTCTTCTCCCACCTGATAGATATCCAACCATACCCATTAAATGCCTCTATAGAGACTTTTCAAAATACAACCTTTCTTTGCTCCACTTTGACCCGACCCGGACAAAATGACTAAGCGAAACCCCACAGGTAAATTCACTAATTTTGCGGTAAACCGTGAGAATCCATCAAGAGAAACAGAGAGACTAGACTCACCTGGTCGCCGGAGAAAATGGCCCAAGCCAGAGGCTTACTGAACAAAACGCTTCCTTTCACTGAACCCACCACACAACGAACTGATTGCAACAGAGAATACACCGCAGCGATTCCGTTGGCGGCCACCAAGAACCTGCACACACACACACGAGGACACCAAAAGTTGAGAGATTGACAAGCGAAAGATTGAGAGGCTATGTTCGTAAATCGAAAAAGGGAGATGAGCCTAACACGAGAGCCTTCATGTCGGTGTACTTGGCCTTCTTCTCGATGGTGAAGATTTGCTTGACCTGAGTGTCTGTAACAACCAGAAGGAGTGCGAGGAGAGAGAGGCAGCTAATGGAACACCTTAAGAGCAGCTCCGTTACCCTCACTCTCCGATCAATCACCTTCATCTTGCTTCCGTGGTACACGGCCACGTTTCCGGGACTCATTTCGATCCGATTTTGTACGACGGGGA